TTTTTTTTTGGTTTTTTCATATTGTATTTTTATGAAGAAGCAAAAGAGGGCTAGCCAGATAAACGATACTTGCATCAATCCAACTAAGCTCATGTATTATGTAATAGGTACTAGGCATGTTGTCTGATCTCTAGCAAGCTTGGGATTATATGAGAGATCTGTCTAATTTTTTTCCCTCTTATATCTTTTTATGTATGAGCTATCGATCAAGTTTTAAATCGAGTATGCTCGGGCGTAGTTAGAATATTATTTACCAAGTATAAGATATGAAAAGATAAAATACATTTAGAATTTTATATATCGGGGGCGGATCAAATGAGGACAACTCTTAAAATGTGGACAACTTTTAAAATAAGGTCACCTCTTAACCATTGATTTTGTGTTAATTGCGAAGACCCGCGCACCCACCTGCCTGCTCCAGCCCAATCTGGCGGACCAAATGCCCGCGTCTCGGGCCCAATTCGCGTCCAGCGCTGTCCAGTTCAGGTCGCCTCAGGGAGCACCAGTCCTGTCCAGCTCGCTCCAGACGTGCCAGACCCGGTCCAACATGCTCCAGGCGGTCCGAGAGTGGTCCAACAGGTTCAGGTGATAGGTCGAAAAATGTGCACGTTTTATATATTTTTTATACACTAAATTTATTCGCACGTTTATATTTTTCGACTTATTTATTATATGGATGAATCTATTTGCTTTGTTTATTTCACGTTTTATTTTCAGCACATTGAAGCATTTTTGTGAATGACGAGTATTGGATAAAAGCTCGAACAAGTTGGAGCGGGAAATTGCTGAGACGGGCCAATAAATTATTAGTGGGTTGGCTATAAATGATTAAGTCCCAATATATAAATAATTTGGATGTTTGGGAAATTATTTGAGAAAAGAAGCAGCAGCAAAAGATCACGCACATAAAGGGATTGGAACATTTGACTTTGGGATGATTTATTTTGTTGAACTCTACGGGCTATTTTTTTTTTTTTNNNNTCCCTAGAGAATTAATTAAGGGGGACACATACATAAGCAATTTTGAATTTACGGGACTACACACGGAGAGCACGAATTCGTGAGCCGCTCAGAGAAGAAAAATGCCGAGACACGCACAGTTCCCAGAGGATTGAAAGGGATAAACTCCACATACGGAGGGAAACCGTACTCGTACACGAGGGAGATTTTATTCTCTCTTTTATCTTTTATTATATATTTTTATTAGGAGTAAATAGCTATTTTCACCCCGTTCTGAAGTCACACTAAGTTTTTCACACCACCCAAT